AGCTTAAATTAAAACCAGCATGTTTCCAGCTGTTGTTTGTAGTGTGTTGTGTTTTAGCGTCTACAGAGGCTTTAAAGGTCAGTCAGCGTAGGCAGGGCTGTGATGATAGTTGTGTTTGGATATTCTGCTCAGAACTAACTTCTCTTTGTTTTAAAGCCTCTGGCTGTGTGTGTGTGTGTGTGTGAGAGAGACTTTCTTTGTGTCAGTGTGCAAACGTGCACCTACAGGTGTATGCGGCTTCGCTGTCATTCATGTAGGTTTGTGTGTGTCTGTATGTGTGTACGTGAAGAGGTCAGGATATTTTGTGCCTCCTCAGATGTGCCAGTGCGGTGTGTGATCTCCAGTTCAGCTCTTTCATGTCATTGTTCCCCCACTGCCTGTGCGCTCCCTGCATCCCGCTTGATCTCGGTCCCCCTCCACCCCCTCTGTCCAGCCGGCCTCCCGTCTCTCTCCCCCTTTTCTTTCCCTCTATCTCGCTCTCACACCTTACATGTCTCTTTGCTTCATTGTACCTCTTTCTTGCCTTGCTTTGCCAAGTGCTTACTCATAGTTGCCTGTTTGTTGCAGTTTTCTCTGTATTATTGTAGGGTCTTTACCTCATTATATAAAGCTTGCGTCCTAAACAAAATAAAATCAGGATTAATGCCCAACCCCACTCCTTTCCCCCTCTTTTTTCTTTCTTTTTTTCCAGATCTGGGGATTTTACAAGCAAGGCTACAAATGTAAAGGTAAGAGAGGAATTCGTTCAGCTTTTGCTCGCTGTTTTCTGCACAAATAAACTTGTTCTAGCTAGAAGGGTACAGGCTTCGAGGAATTAGTGCCTTTTTTTTGAAGCCGTCGATTCCCATCTGTTGCACCTTCCACAGATTTTTGAGTGCTAAGTAAATGTCATCGAACATATCACACATTTAATTATATTCAAAGCCCTCTGCTCAAGCAGCTGGATAAACTCCATCACCGGAGAGCACACTATACACAATGGAGAATTATTTGCCCTTTCAGGCCTCCAAGTGGACCTGTGTTTGAGGAAGCTGGTTCATTTCCCAAATGCACATACACAGAGGGCGGCTACCTCCAAAACCTCCCACCCTGTCACACACTGCTTATCATTAGCTTCTTAAACACATTTGCAGCTTGTCCATCCCCCCTCTGTGGACATGCTGTTGGTGGTCTGTGCTGATGTTGTAAAGTAGAGTGATGATCTGCAGACGTTAAACTCTCTAAATAATTTGCAACAAATATGTTGCTCTCCAGATGTCAAGCAAAGGTTTGGACATGATGCCAGATCTAAAATGCAAATAAACCTAGTTTCCATCTGCTGTAGTCTTTTAAGGAGGGATTGGATACAGTTCAAACATCTGAGCGAGAAACGTTAGGGCAGATATTTCATAGATGGCGTTTCCCTGCTTTTTCTGTGTCGCGTAAACTAAATTCCATGTCAAGTTTTTGCAAAGATTTCTCAGTCAGCCTTGCCTACACAGTTTGTTCAGTTATTTGGTTGCACAAGCGTGAATATCTCATTCTTTAGAAGAATGAGATGTATTGTGTTAATGCAATGACAGCTTGAGAAACCTCACTGTAGTATTGTATTGTGTGCAGAGTCCTTGTGTATCGGAGGATGTAATGCTTTGTTGTTCTCTTGGAGCCTTGGAGGTCTAAGTAGGAGAACAAAAGGACACCTGTGTTAACAAACGCAGGTATTTGTGTTTGAATTAGTGTAACAGCTTTAAGGCATAGTAATTTCTTATTTTTCATAATGACGCCATGTTGACTAGGTTACGGCCATACCACCCTAAGCACACCCGATCTTGTCGGGCCTGGTTAGTACTTGGATGGGAGACTT